CGGTCCAGAAAATGAAAGTCAAGGCCACCGCTGCAGCAGCCGAGATTCTCGGCTAAATGAGGCCGCTACCAAGTTCGAAGCCGAGGCCACCGAGAAAATTCTCGACCAGCACGATGTCAGCTTCCAACATGCTATGCGACAGGCCTTCTACTTTTGTGAGGTCTCGGCTAAGTTCAATTTTGATGTTAGTCGAGATTTCTACGGTGGAATGTTCACAAGTTACGCCGAGTTCCCTCAGGGTGCTCAGCTTGACGAAGAGGCCCCACCGGCAAGGGAGGAGGAGCCGATCATTGATGTGGTCGGCGATGGGAATCCGGAGGACTCGGCCGCGGTGTAAGAGGTTGACTCTCGTGGTAGTAGGTTAGGGTTAGGATTTTTCGCTTGCTTGTAATCAGGCCATTAGTGCCTTTTGTGATCGGCCATTGGCGTCGTGGACAAAGATGATTTTTTGTGTAAGTAGCCGTACTGATCGACCATACTTTAATGAAATATTTTACTTTCCAATTTTTTGCCATATTCATTAACGCCTAGTAATATAAACACAACCGAATGGTATGCTCGGCCGAAGGGGGGTTAAATTCATGTTTGTCGCGAATTAATGCTTGGTGTGAGTTCGGCTCAGGAGTGCTCCGCCTAGGCGTGCTCGGCCTCAAAATGCTGGAGTACGTGAGAGTGCTCGGCTTGAGCGTGTTCGACCTAAGCGTGGTCGGCCCCGGAATGTTGGGTCATGCGATTTGATACGTGGTGTATTTAATCCGCGAGAGTGCTCGGCTTGAGCGTGTTCGGCCTAAGCGTGGTCGGCCCTGGAATGTTGGGTCACGCGATTTGATACGCGGTGTATTTAATCCGCGAGAGTGCTCGGCTTGAGTGTGTTTGGCCTAAGCGTGGTCGGCCCCGGAATGTTGGGTCACGCGATTTGATGCGCGAAGTGTGTTGGAGCACGCGAGAGTGCTCGGCTTGAGAGTGTTCAGCCGAAACGTGCTCGGCCTCGGAGTCGGATCATGCGATTTGATACGCGAAGTGTATTTGATCCGCGAGAGTGCTCGTCTTGAGAGTGTTCAGCCAAGCGTGCTCGGCTTTGGAATGTCCTTAGCCGAGGAGGGTACTCGAGAGGGAAACCTGTCGGGCTCGAATGTACATTTTGAGTGATCGGCCGAGGATTGCTCGGCGTCGACGCATGTTCGTGCGTAGTGTTCGGCCTAGGTACATCCTTAGCCGAGGAGGTTACTCGGGAGGGAAACCTGTCGGGCTCGAATGTACATTTTGAGTGATCGGCCGAGTATTGCTCGGCAGCGGCATATGCGCGCAATGCTCGGCCTAGGTACATCCTTAGTCGAGGAGGTTACTCGGGAGGGAAACCTGTTGGGCTCGAGCGCACTTTTTGAGTGATCGGCCGAGTATTGCTCGGCAGCGGCATATGCGCGCAATGCTCGGCCTAGGTACATCCTTAGCCGAGGAGGTTACTCGGGAGGGAAACCTGTCGGGCTCGAGTACACTTTTTGAGTGATCAGTCGAGGATTGCTCAGCGTCGGCGTGTGCGTTATTCGAGATTGGACCTGCATGAGCGCGACATTGTGTAATGTGGTCCTCTAGGGGGACGAGCATTTGAGGGCTCGACATTCGCCTTTCTCATCGAGTCTCGACCCGGTTCTTTTCGTCCATATCCCTCCTCGGCTCTGGCCTGATTTCTAGTCTCTGCCAATTCTTCCATTTGCTTGTACTTCTCGGCTCGGTGTCGGAGATCGTTCATATCACCGGGCAGTTTCTTACACAAGCTATTCACAAATGGACCCGGCCTGAGGGCAGTGCTCAGCCGATCCATTGCCACGGCTGGGTTAAGGTCGTCGATCTCCATGGCGATCTTGTTGAATCGATCCATGAAGCTTCTCAAACTTTCCTTCTTCTCCTGACGAACCCCCGCCAATGCTAGTGAGGTCGTCCTGTACGGTTTGCTCGTCGTGAACTGAAGAGTGAATTGGGACGATAGCTCGCTAAACGAGTCAATGAAAGCTCTCGGCAATCGCGTGAGGCACAAGGCCGAGTCATCTTGAGTAGAGAGGGTCGCTTGTGTCAGGAAAACGTTCAAGTGCTCCTCGGGGTCGGTGGACCCGTCATAGTTCTCGATCGACATGCTCTTCCAATGGTCTAACAAGGTTGCCTCCATTATCCTTCGGGAGAAGGGGTGTCTCAACCTGTGGGTGGTGGTGTCGATATTGCCACCAATCAAAGAAGTAACCGGTGTTTGGGTTACATGGTCGGTGGGGGCATGATAGGCCGACTCCTCTAGGAGTGTGGGAGTTGACGGCACATAGGTTTGGTTCAGACTTCGGAGCTCGGCATTTTGTCGGCGCAGTTCGGCCAACTCCCTGGCATCGGCTTCTCTCTATCTTTGGAAGGCTGCCATTTCCTCGCGTAATGCGCGCAAGTCATCGTGGAGGTCGGGCTGGGCTCCGTCGGCGTTCGGCCGGACCTCTTGTATCACAGGCTCCGGTTGTGTCTGAGGCATTCCATATGGGTATCGTTCTTGGCCGGTCATGACGGGATTGTTCTCGGGGTTGGGGATCGGTTGAGTCGATGTCGATGGTCCTTTGCGTGTTACTACCATATCTCGGTCTCAGTTGTAGAGTTAAAAGGGGCTGAAAACGTCTCTTCGGCCCCATGGTGGGCGCCAAATGTTCCTGTGTTAGGATACACACTCCAATTATCCTTGTTGTAGCGGGTCGGGTCCGGGGTCTAGGTCTTCTCGTCCTTCTTCGAGTAGTTCGAAATGAGGGGGGTGCTTGCAAAGACACTCCAACGCTCAAGTAAGTGCCTGGCGTATTAAATGCGGTAGTTGAAAAGTTAGTTACGTACCTCGCTGGGGTCCTATTTATAGTGATTCTTATTGGGCCGCGATTAAGGACTGGGCCCCGGGAAATTAGGGGGCTAATCCGGTGCATTACATAAATTAACCTCTCCATAATTATCCTGGCATAAATCCGTGACTTGGCCGAGCACACCGACACGTTCCGTTCAGATTGTGAGTGGTCGGTGGGCTCGGGTATTCGACCTGGTCATCCACGGACTCGGGTATTCGGCCTAGTCGGCCACGAACTCGGGTATTCGGCTTAGTCGGCCATGAACTGGGGTATTCGGCCTAGTCAGCCACCATACGGTATAACAGGCTTCACACTTTGGAAGTTGCAGCTGTAAGTCCTTTTATAGGCACATTGAACAGAGGCGACAAACATGGAGTCCAAGACTCAACAACTCTTTTTCTGTAAAGAGGAATCTGAAATATGTCAGTTGTATGTGACCTGCCATAACTCAAGTTACCATTCTGATGATCAATTCTGATGTGTAGTTTTGATGAGCTTCAAGAAGGTAAGGACTTGCATTATGATTTTGTTGATGGAAGACTTCTTCAGATGTATATGTGTAGCATTCCTTCATGTTCAGGACAAACTGAAGACATAGCCTTCAGAATATATAACGTGCAAGTTATGGTTGTTGTGATGTGTATATAGTCCTTGATACATGCTTCTATGATTTTCATAGTCATCACTCTAATAAGGTGAAATAAAGGTACTCTATTACTCTCTCACTTCTCCATTACAAGAAAAAAAAAACTAACTTTACACATATCAAAGAAATTAGTTATTAACATTAAATTTCACTAATTTTATAATAATTTTTCTAAATTGTCCTTACAATAAATACTAAAAGAAGTAATGTAACTAAAAAGTGATATATTAAAGAATGATATTTTAACAAGGATATCATTAAACGAGATATGGGTGAAATTTTTTATATTTAAAAAATTGTTTTTTCTCTTCTTATAATAGAGAATAAAGAGAGTTCATAAAGTAAATTCTAATGTCAAAATGAGAAATTTATTCAGGTGCCAACTGTTCTTATAGAGTCTTCTTGGAGATGAGCTTGAACTTTAGAGTGTCCTTGCTACAATGAAAGCCTTGCCACACATGAAGATGATATGACCTGGTTCAGAGTAGTTGTGACTAAATGTAAGGTCATGTTCTTGGATCAAAGATAATTTTGAGACTTCTCTTCTCGAACATTCTCGAGAACTTCAACAAAAGCTTAACATTATTCTACTACTGATAGCTTCACTCTTCTAATGAACTCGTAGGCTTCTTTGTTCAAATGAAATCAATCTTACTCATTTGATGACCCGTTAGTGATCGTGCAATTTATATGAAGGACATACAAATGATTCTTTAATATTGGCTTATTGTCTCTAAAGGTCTCTTGAGAGATACGATGTTGTCTTGTATGCTAAGCTATATGTTTTGAACTGATTTTAAATTCACATCCTCTAGTTTAGATTGTTGGAGTTTTTTTCAGTGATGGATCCTTATTTTAGAGACAATTCTGATCATCCTTTCTGAAGTTTTCATGAGGACCTTCCTCTTCCCCTATTTGAATCAATCTTACCTTTTGATAAAAGCCTTCTCCTGTCAAAGGCGTTTTGATCATTTTGAGGTTGTTATATGTTTGATAAGTGATTTATCCTCGGTTCAGACTCTGTTATGATGCTTCATTCATAATTATTCTCAAGGATATGCATCATTAAGCTTCATGTAGCGAGTGAGTCAAGTTCTTCTATTGATGTAAAAATGATGATATTACCAATCAGTTTGATGATCCTTGGACTATATGGTGGCCTTCTAATCCATCATTTGTGTTGAAAGTGTGCCTGCAATAGCTGCATACGTGGATGTTTTAGCCAATTTAAGTTTTAAATTTTCTATTGCTTAGAATCTATTTTTTAGGAGTTCTGATTCTGTTTCATCAATTCAGAAACTATTTTTTTCATGCCTAAAAATAAGGGATATTTTGTTTTGTATTTTTGACTCTAGCTTTATTTAAAGAGCAAATGAATAACAGTTATGATATCCTTTGTGAAATATATATGCTCTTCTCTTTTTTTAAATCTGATTTCAACAAATTGGTATTGAGAGCTTTCATCTTGAGGGATCTGTGAGTTGTGAGAAACCATAATGGAAGCAGACACATCACACATAATACCACCACCAGTTTTTGATGGTGAGGAGTACGACCTATGGGCTGCAAGGATGACTACCCATCTTGAAGCACTAGATCTTTGGGAACCGATAGAAGAAGACTATGCAGTTCATCCACTGCTTGAAAATCCTACAGTGGCTCAGCTGAAGAATCACAAAGAGAGGAAGACAAGAAAGGCCAAGGCTAAAGCATGTCTTTTCTCTTCGGTTTCAAAAATCATATTTACGAGAATTATGAATTTGAATTCCGCGAAGGACATTTGGAACTACCTCAAATCAGAGTATCAGGGTAGTGAGCAAACCAAAGGTATGAAGGCACTTAACTTGGCTAGAGAGTTCGAGATGCAGAGCATGAAGGAGACAGAAACTATTAAAAGTTATGCTAACAAATTGTTGAGCATTGCAAACAAGGTACGTCTCCTCGGTAAGGATTTTTCTGACGAAAGGATAGTGCAAAAAATACTTGTTACTGTACCTGAAAAGTATGAATCCAAAATATTAGCATTAGAGGAGTCAAAAGACTTGTCAAATATCACCCTTGGAGAATTGGTAAATGCTTTACAGGCACAGGAACAGAGGAGAATGATGAGACATGAGGAGGCAGTACAAGGTGTTTTTCATATAAAAGCATAAAATTCAGAAGGAGGCAAAGATAAGAAGAACAACAAATGGAAGAACAAGAAACCAGAAAGCTCCAACAACCAACAAAATGATACTTTTCCGCCTTTTCCACATTGCAAAAAAACAAACCACTCTAAAAAAAATGTTGGTGGAGGCCTGACATCAAGTGCAGAAAATGTGGCAAGCTGGGGCATGTAGAGCGGATTTGCAAGTCACTGGAGGAGGCAAAGGTGTCCATGGAGCAACAAGAAGATGAGCAACTCTTTGTTGCAACATGTTTTGCTACAAACAACAGTTCCAGTGATTCATGGTTAATAGACAGCAGTTGTACAAACCATATGACGGACGACCAAATGCTTTTTAAAGAGCTTGACAAAACCATTGTTTCCAAAGTAAAAATTGGAAATGGTGATTTCATCTCAGTCAAAGGAAAAGGAACTGTTACTATAGAAAGTTTAACAGGTTTGAAACATATCTCTAATGTCTTATATGTGCCTGACATTGACCAGAATTTGCTTAGTGTGGCGCAGCTAGTTGAAAAGGGCTTCAAAGTTATATTTGAAGATAAATGGTGCTTGATTAAGGATGCAGAAGGCAGAGATGTGTTCAAGGTGAAAATGAGGGCCAAAAGCTATGCTCTAAATCTAATGGAGGAAGAGCAAATAGCTTTTCCAAGCACCTGCAATAGCATTGAATTATGGCACAAAAGGCTCGGACATTTCCACCTTGTGGGACTTCTATACATGCAGAAACATGCCTTGGTGAAAAGTGTGTTGTTGCTTGAAGACAAACTGGATGATTGTGTAGCTTGTCAATATGGAAAGCAAGTTAGATTACCATTTCTCAAAACAAAGTGGAGAGCAACACAAAAATTGCACTTAGTACATACAGATATTGGAGGACCTCAGAGAACAACATCTTTGAATGGTAATAGATATTATATTACATTTATTGATGATTATTCCAGATTTTGTTGGATTTATTTCTTTAAATCCAAGACCGAGGTAGCTAAAATATTCTGGAAATTTAAAGCATTGGTGGAAAATCAAAGTTGTTGCAAGTTACGCACAATAAGATCAGATAATGGGAAGGAATATGCAAATGACACCTTCAACAAATTTTGTGAAGAAGCTGGCATAGAGCACCAACTCACTGTACCATATACCCCACAACAGAATGGTGTAAGTGAGAGAAAAAATAGAAGTATCATGGAGATGACAAGGTGTATGTTGCATGAAAAGGAGTTTCCAAAGAAGCTGTGGGCAGAGGCTGCAAGCACTGCAATATTTTTGCTTAATAGGCTACCATCCAGAGTGCTGAACAGAAAACCCCATTTGAAGGCTGGTTTGGTTACAAACCATATTTACAAAATCTAAAAATCTTTGGTTGTCTTTGTTTTTCTTTTGTACCACAGGTTAAAAGAGACAAGTTGGACAAGAAGGCAGAACCAGGAGTTTTTATTGGATACAACAATACTTCCAAAGCTTATAGAATTTTCCAACCACAAAATGGAAAAATTCTTGTAAGTAGAGATGTCAAGTTCATGGAAGAAAAACAATGGAGTTGGGAGGAGTTAATAAAGAAGCAACTACAAAAAATTCCACAATTCGTTGATGATGATATAGACAACTTTCCAGTTAGAGGTACAAGACTCTTATCTGAAATTTATGAAAAGAGTAATGTAGTTGTCTTGGAACCTTCTGATTTTAAAGAAGCTGAAATGGATGATAAGTGGATAGAAGCAATGAAGGAAGAGCTAAAGATGATCGAAAAGAATGACACTTGGGAGCTAGTGGACAGACCTCAACACAAGCAACCTATAGGAGTCAAATGGGTTTATAGAACTAAGCTAAACACAGATGGTTCTATAAATAAATACAAGGCTAGGTTGGTCGTGAAGGGCTATGCTCAAGTGTTCGGAGTGGATTTTTCAGAAACGTTTGCTCCGGTTGCACGCCTCGATACAATCGGAATGTTGCTTGCTTTGACTGCACAAAAGGGATGGAAAGTTTACCATTTAGATGTGAAGTATGCCTTCCTAAATGGTTATTTGCAGGAGGAAATATTTGTGGAGCAACCAGAGGGATTTCAAGTCAAGGGACAGGAGGAGAAGGTCTACAAACTAAAAAAGGCCTTGTATGGTCTTAAACAGGCCCCTAGGGCCTGGTACAGCAGAATTGATGATTATCTTCAAAATCTTGGGTTTATTAAAAGTCCAAGTGAAGCTACATTGTATGTGAAAATGATGGATACTAACTTAATCATAGTTTCTGTCTATGTTGATGACCTACTTGTAATAGGGAATGAAGAAAAGTTAATAATGGAGTTTAAAGCTGAAATGTTGTGAGTGTTTGAAATAACAGACCTTGGCCTAATGTCTTTCTTTTTGGGTATGGAGGTAAAGCAAGATCATGGTGGAGTCTTCATATGCCAAAAAAAAATACGCAAGGGAAATACTCAAAAAACTTCGCATGGAGGATTGCAAAAACACTACTACTCCAATGAACCAAAAGGAAAAATTCAGCAAAGATGACGGGGCTGATAAGATAGAGGAGCATCAGTTTAGAAGCCTAATTTGTTGTCTTATGTATCTTACTGCAACCAGGCCCGACATCATGTTTGCAGTAAGTATGCTTTCAAGATTTATGCATTGTGCTAGTGAAGTTCATCTTCAAGCTGCCAAACGGATTGTGAGATATATTAAGGGGACAGTAGACTATGGTGTCAAGTGCACTCATTCTCAGAATTTTTAGCTTCATGGTTATTCTAATAGTGATTGGGGTGGTTCAATTGATGACATTAAAAGTACAACAGGTTACTGTTTCAGTTTTGGTTCAGGTATGTTTTCTTGGAGTTCAAAAAAAAAAAAGACATAGTGGCTCAAAGCACAACTGAGGCAGAATATGTGGCAGCCACTACAGCTGTGAATCAAGCTATTTGGCTAAGGCGTATGCTTGCTGATTTACATATGGAACAAAAGGAGCCTACACAAATTCTTGTTGATAATCAAGCAGCTATTTTCATTTCAAATAATCTCGTTTTTCACGGCAGGACTAAGCATTTCAAGATCAAGTTGTCTTTCTTAAGGGAAGCACAAAGAGAAGGTGAAGTCAAACTAATTTACTATAGAACTGAAGATCAAGGTACAGATGTCTTAACAAAAGCTCTTCCAAAAGCCAGATTTGAAGCTTTAAGAAATAAACTAGGTGTTTGCAACTATCGAGGCAAGGAGGAGATTTGTTGAAAGTGTGCCTGCAATAGTTGCATACGTGGATGTTTTAGCAAATTGAAGTTTTAAATTTTCTGTTGCTTAGAATCTATTTTTTAGGAGTTCTGATTCTGTTTTCATCAGTTCAGAAACTATTTTTTTCATGCCTAAAAATAAGGGATATTTTGTTTTTTATTTTTGACTCTAGCTCTATTTAAAGAGCAAATGAATAACAACTATGATATCCTTCGTGAAATATATATGCTCTTCTCTTTTTTTAAATCTGATTTCAACAATTTGTTTTCTTCAAATTACTGCCCTCATTCTCATGTACAAATGATGTCTTAGTTACATCATTCTGATCTAGTTTAATAATTGTGTATTGAGGTATGTCTTATGTGTAGTACATATCTTCTCATTTGTGCTTGAACTACGACATCAAAGATGTGTACTATTCTCTTTAATCATATGAGCTTCATTTAGATCCTTCCAAATGTTCCATGAAGTGTATGACTCTATTCTGATCTTCTTTGGAAAACTAGCTTTTATTTGTTCTGATGTATTGATTGGGTTGCTGAAAAATTTAATGGATTTGTTAGATATCATACTTTTTTTAACTTTTTTTTAATTTTTTTTGTTTTTATCGTTACTATAATTTTCATTCTTAGGAGGTGTATTGGTTTAGAATTTCGTAGCATTTTAAAAGATTTTTTTTTAGTAAAAAAATTCATTGGTATTCAATCAGGATTTTATGCTACTTAAAAACAATCTAGTGGTATTCAATCTGGATTTTCAAGATTTTTTAAAGAGTCTATTAAAATTCATTAGTAATTAACATCTTGTGACAATTACATTGATAATTAATATCTTGTGACAATAATTAAAAAATTAAATCAAATAATAAACTAATAGAACTCAAGAAAAATACAAGAAAGATTAACAATTACTTATACATATTCTGAAATAGTAATACAAATGAGTAAGTTTTCGTGTAGATCTTAGAAAATGGAAACGAAGAGTTTAAGAAATAAAATATATAAAAAGGTACAAACATAGACAAAAGAAAACAAACATTATAATTTATTTAGAAAAAGACTAAATAAATCATTTAACTTTTTATATATTTATTTCACATTTATTTATTATTTTAAAGATTTATTATATATGAAATAAGCCTTTAAAAAAAAAACTCAAAAACTTAAAATGTTATTTTTTATATATATTATTTTTATTTTATAACATTATTTTGTTTAAACTTTCTGAATATTAATTTTTATTTGCCTGATTTTGACGAATTCTTCTATTTCATGATTACAATGATAGTATTTAACTAATAATTTAACCATTTTTTAATATCTTTACAATTTATTTTAAGTTCATGATTACAATGATATATAATACTTTTTCCTTTTCTTTCCAATAAATTCTTTTTCTTCAAAATCATCCTTATAAAAATATTAATTTGATGATATCATGATAATGTCAAGTGATGAGTATCAATCATAATATCACTTTATTATAAAATATTAATTTGACAATATCATCATCTACTACATTAGCATAACGTTTTGGGATGGGTCACATGTCAACATAATATCACATCAACATAATGTCATGTGACATATAATACTTTTTTCTTTTTTTTTCCTATAAAACTTTTTTCTTCAAAATCATCCTTATAAGTTTTAAATGTTTCACTTTTAGCTTGTGTTGAGAAACTTTATTATAAAAATATTAATTTGATAGCATCATCATATACTACGTTAACATAATGTTATGTGATAGATGACACGTTAACATAATATCACCATATCAATAGTACATTAGTAATAATATCATATTATCATTATAATAGAGAAACTTAAAAAAAAGAACTATTGGCACTAAAACTAAAAAAAAAAAAAAAAGGAAAGGAATTTATAGAGACATTTTTTTATACGAACTAAAAAGAATAAAGTGATATATTTTTTTGATACAAAGAAATATTCAACCCTTAGATATAATATATAAATAAATATTTAAAATTAACATAAAAAATAAATAAAAATATTTTTTTAACAATCACACTTTCTTTTCACCTTTTCCCCCATTTTTCTTCATTCAAGACTTTATACCACTCACACATTGCATAGACACTACAAAATCTCTCACTCATAGCATACACCGTTTATTATTATTATTATTTTTTTTAGCACCATCACACCTAAATTTCTTAGCTTATTTTTATGGATCCCATTATGTCATGTAAGGTTTAAGAATTCTTACAAAATTTACTCTAATACTAAATTTTTTATTTGAGTTCTTAACTTAATTTTATAGCCTTACAATTGATTCTACATCTTTAAATTTATATTTTTATTTTAACTTAAAAATTATGGTTTTTTAATTGTAATTTTAAAATAATAAAAAAAAATTTTAAAAACATAAAAACTACTATAAATGTACTTTATTTATTGTGTTAAATTGAAAATGATGTCTTTCAACTAAATTAAGTACTTTTTAATTATTATTATTTTTCTTTCGGATCACTTGTTTCATATTCTCCTTCTTTTAAAGTTATTTCTCTTTCCTCTCTCGTTAATCTCTCTGCCAGCTAGCTATCTATTTTATTACTCTCTGAGAAATATACATTTTTTTTTTCACTTCATCAGCTAAGAGACAATTGCTTATTTAAGAGACATACCTTACATGTGATAAGCCACTTGACAAGCTCTAATGGTTACTTTAAACAAAGATTGTTGCTTAATATTTCCGAACTAAAGTAACTTCTCACGTTGAAGATGTCACACCATTTATTTTCTCTCTTTCTTCACGTCGTATACATAAATGTTATTCCTTTTGCACCTACATCACCCTCAATCCTCATGTACCATTGTTATTGTCATTACATAATGGAGCTTCTCGTCATTACGTTAAGAATATTTTATTTGGTTGATTTGTAAACATGATGAATAGGTTTAAGGTTATGCACTTTATTTGCTTTTGTTGATTTGTCTAAATCCTGAATTTTCTATTCTTTCAAAGTAAAATGGGGCTTATTGTGAAATAATAGAAAAAAGATACCTTTAATTTGATTTTCATGCTTTATTTGATGACTTAAAGTAAATGGATGAAAATGATAACTTTGATTAAAATGTGTGACCTTATACCGTTGAATGAGAAAAAGAAACCAGAGAGAGGATGAGAAAATGTGTGATTATTAAAAATTATTATTTTTATTTTATATTAATTTTAAATTAAATTTATATATTATATTTAATACTTGATTTTTTTTAAAGATAAAACCTAGGTACAATTTTTTAGACGTAATTTATATTGTTCTCTAATCAGAGTTGTTTTCCAACACTAATTACACCTAAGAAATTATATCCAAATTTTATGAATTTTTTTAATGCTTACGAATATGTCATTTTCTCTTCGTTTAATCAATGTGTTTTTTTTTGTCTATATAAATTATATTTTTTTCATTCACCTGTGACTTAGTATTATCCTAATGTGATACATGATGAAATCATGATATCATCTTTTGTTGATATAATGTTATGATGAGATCATGTCAACAAATTAATGTTTTTATAACATAATTTGATAATGAAACTAAAAGATGTTTGAAACATGCAAGAATGATTAAATAAAAAGGACTCAATAAAGGACAAAATCAAAATTTAAAAAAGCTAAATTACAAAGACAAAATATATTTAAGACTTAAAATAACATAGAAGCCTCCTTTTAAAAGCCAAGCCAAGTGTACCATACATATGTTACACTCTACAGTCTACAACAATTATAATATTTAATTTTTTCAGAAATAATTATAATAATATTTTGACTTTAAATGATAATGTGCAAAGTATACCGTCCAATTCAAAAAAAAAAAAAAAACTGTCCAGTAAAACATGTTCTAATTAATTTTTATTTGTTATAAAAATTGTTTTATCATATTAAAGTGTGATAATATTATTTTAAATAATATTACCGTAGATTGATTAATGCTATGAACCCGATTTATAAATACGATAAGAACAAGAAACATCATGTTTCACAGAAATTATCAGAAGAATGAAAGGAACTGGTGTAGTGTGAGCATGTCTCAATTTGTGGATTTAAATAGCAGATTCTTATGTTCTTTGTAGCTTTTCGCAATAGCTCCAAAGCTCAGTGGATACGCTTTCTTTCCAAAACAAAAAGGAACATTAATTATTCACTTCACTTCATGTATGGTTTGGTTTTGTAAAAGACCGAACTAATCCAATTCATAACTGGTTTCAAAACCATTAATTCAAAACTTGTCTTTTAAATTCAAGATTTGTTTTGAAAATGGTTCAAAACCAGTTCAAAAATAGTTTTAAAAATGATTTTCTTTTAAGCAAACATAAAAGAAAAAAAGGATTCAAAACCAGTTTAAATTAAAAATTAGTTTTAAAACCAAAAACCCATTTCTAAACACTATTTCATTTAAGCGATTTTTTTACACATCTGTTCTGCTTGTTATAATCTACATCATGAATTAATATCAGAATCAGAAATTATTTCAAAACCTTCACAATGCCAGGATCCCACTTCCCAGCATGTTACTAGAAACTCAATAAGAATAGCAGGAAAAAAAGGCATTGAAAATTTGGAAGATCTTCAACTGTTGCTAAGCAATTTACCAACAACAATTCTGCACTATCATTCTCAAAATTTTGGGAAAATGGTCACCTTTCATGGGGCCACCAATCCTTCCATGGCATATGATAGAGACTCTGCCCAGTCAGCTTTAAATAGCAGCGTCTGCAAAGCGTGCAACACATCATATTCTGGATCAAGTCTTCGCTGCCAACCCTAAAGAGGAGACAGGAACAAAATGCAAAGAAAATTTACTTCATGTTTTAGGAAAACAAATAAATTTTTTAGTTTAGAGCTCTAAACTGTCAAGATAATAAATAAATCTGCGGAAAATAAGAACTGCTTCATGTCAAGTCCTCTGCATCGTTTAAGATTTAACCATTGTCTTTGGTCATCTAATCTAGTGCATTGTACACACATTTCCATTAGTGGTACTTGGATAAGACAAATATGATTATTGTACGTTTGATTTACAAAAAGATAATAAGACATAACAAATCAGATGAGGAATGATAGGACAAACTATTTTTTTGTTAGTCAATAAATCATGAGACAACATTTTGTTCCAAGACTCGAAACATTCATCACCATCATCACTGCCTTTGCACCATGCCTTTGCACCGCCACCAGGCATCAGTAGCAAATAGACCTATATACTAAGTTGTTAAATTTGAGTTTACATAAACTTGTGGGGAGCTCGAAGACTAGTAACAAAGCACATGATCGCAATACAAATTCTTCTGCTTTTGCACAAGAACACCTGTTGCATTGTAATTTGCAGCGTTATCTATAACTACTTGGGCTACATTCTCTCTCCTATAAATGTCACATCATCCAAACTCTTTAAAACTTTTTCAGTTGTTTTAGAGATGTCACAAGTATCTATTGAATAGAGAAATACCGTGCCTTTAGGGCTGTTGACCAAAAAAATGCAAATTGAACGTCTTTTCTTATTTGTCCATTCATTAGTCATGTTTGGATAGCTGATCCTCTTCCACTCCTCTCTAAATTCTTCAAGCATTGCATTAGTTAAAGTCATTACTTGTTTTAAAAGCTTTTACCCAATCTCATGATAAGAAGGAAGTTTATAACCAAGTCCATATTTCCCAATCATCTTGCACATCTTTGCAAACCCCACAGGAGATTTGGAACCAATTCCCTATTTCCCAATTACATTGCATATATTTGCAAACTCCACATGTTTCATACAGTTGAAGGGAATAATGCTAGAGTTAAAAGATCGAGCAACTTGTTAATCAACTTCCACCTATATGTTTATCATAGGGTTTATTGTTGCTTGAAACCCACCACCCTTTCCTTTTGTAACAACCCTAAAAACAACCTTTATCTTTGGAAGCTATCCCTTTCCATCTCCCCTCTCTCCTTAACATCAACCATACTTTTTTTCCTTCTTTGATGCCTCCTCTGCCTTTGCAACAACTTTCATTATTAAAGCTTTAACTTCTTCAGGTACTGTTGCACAAGGTTATGAATCTTCTCTAGTTTCAATAAGATGATGCTTGAATCTAAAAATTCATCAGCTAATAATTTTTGTGCAATAGTTGAATTATTAACTTTGCTAGCATGCCCCTTAAGATTTGACCTTTCCACCCAATATCAAACTTAATTTTGGGTGCATTCTTCCTAGTTGGAGCAACCATGTTGCTTGAGGACCTTGACCCACCAATATTCAGACACTGTAATTATGATCAAACAAAATGGGATCTCAATTTTTCAACTAATATACAAGTTCAGACCAAAAAGAGAAAATAAAACAAAAGGAGTAAATGGGAATGCACGATTCAGGCTTCATCCACTGGGTACCTTATTTAGAAATCACAATTATTACAATGTCCACACTTCAATTCAACAGCCACTATGCCCAGTGCATAGCCTACTAGCTAAGCAAGTGAGATGGACAGCAGACACACAACAGCCAAGCAAGAGAAGATAACAGCTACTCAAACTCGCAGGAGACTGGGTCTGCAACTGAAAGCTCACAAATCAAGGGACGTCACCATAGAGGTTGGTCAGAGAAGGAGAAGACTTGTGAAGTAATCTTGTCGGAGAAGTGACTTTGTCACAAGAGGTTGATCAGAGAAGCTCAAGTGAGTGAGAACCAAAGGACTGTCATTGGAGAAGGAGAAAATCGAAGAATGGCTGTGACTCATTAAACTTGGCTGAAAAGGCAATAGAAAAAAGAAGAAGGAAGAAACCCTTATGAACAGTGCCAGTCTGTAGATATTGGATTTAGGCAACCGAACCAAACTTGTGGAATTGGCAGCAAACTCATGATTTTGAACGTGTGTGCACAATCCTACATGAGTTCATCCAAGTTCAACCACAATCCTACACGAGTTCAGTCAAGTTCAACCACGAGTGAGTTTGTGGCTGAGTTAGTTCATTGTGTCACCCTAAACACAGACTGGTGCAAGCTCACAAGTTAACAATCGAGTTTAACAACCATGCCTATAACAGCTCCAATGAAAGAAACGAATCAAATGGAAGTAATTTGGACACAAAATAATGGTTTATACATCAGGTGGGGTGGTGATGAGTAGTTGTGCCTTTTCTAAATCTAGATTTTTAAACAATCAGTTATCTAAAACATGAAAAAAGTATATCCTGATCAGTTATGTTACAATCAACAATACAAAGATGAAATTTCAATTATATACCAACAGCAATGCACAAATGCCACATTACTCATGTTGTCAACATTCACTTTATTTATAAAGGTGTCAAGAATACTTTTTAAAAAAGATGACTCAGGCAGAACTTACCTCCAGAACCAATGTGGTCACTATCACAGCGCAAACATTGCCATCTATATTGACTTTAGAGCGTCTAACATGCTCAAGTAATTGTTGCATACGATCAGCTGTGTGGATAGATTCACCTTCTGGGGACCTCCAAAATTTAAATGATTTATCCACCTCCTGTTAAATGCTAAAAGATTTTATTCAGAAAAGAAAAGTACAGGCTGCTGTTGAAATAAGTATGTAACAAACAATTCTAAATCATTTGTCAATTGTACAGAAGTTATGGAGATGCAGGAGAATAGACTATAGATAATTTTTTTTTAAAAAAAATCATAATCTTTATCATATTGTCTTGAAGATGATACATAATACAACACATGTAGAAATGTTATATTTGTGGACTCAGGATAAGAAGTATACAATTAACATGCATTTTTCTGAAGTGGTATGCAATTCCCACACACAAAATGTCCAAAACTTCAAAGTATCTATCAACTACAGACCTTGAACCCACAATCATTGGTCACAGGTCAAATGAATAGTTGTCTTTCAGATATAGGATGACAAGTGAAGAATAAAATTTGTCACAGTATTTTTTACAAGGATGTTAGTATAACGTGTTTGTTGAAAAACATGAAACAGTATTTCTTACCTCAATGAAAGATTTTGGGTCTGGGCAATTTTGCCGTTTTGATAATCTAAGGGTGCACTCTGCGGCAGTGCGGCCATCTTGAAGTGCAACGGCCCTAAAGAACTCCACTAAAGATTTTTGTTCCCTCTTAGAAAGTTCAGCAGTCATGCCTACATCAAGGAAAATGACATGAGGTCTTGACTTCAAGAGTGGTATAGGTGATGGCTTGCTTTTTCCTGCTCGGACAAGAATATTTCCAGGATGCATGTCTGCATGGATAAAATTATCCACCTGAAAGAAGAGATATATCTAAGTGAAGGCAATTGATAATTCCACTCAAATGTCTACTTCTATCCATAAGATAACAAATTAGCAATACAAATTGTAACTATAAGGAAGGGAAATCATTCTGGATCTCTAGGATGCTATGCTCAAATGCATTTAAGGAAAAAAAATATTTTATCAAAACATATGATCAAATGAAGATCAAGAATCTTCTCTAGAAAAATCTTCAATGAATCCATCATTTGTTCTTTTACAACTTCATTCTACTCATAAATTTCCCCCAAGGTAAACCACATTACAATGAGGAATATCAGAATGTTATCCAGGTTTGTTTTTGGTTTTCTGCTTTCTTTCTTCTCAATCTTCCACTTTCTTCTTTACTTTTCATATTTCGAAGAAAAACATATCCATATTTAATATATATATATATATATATATATCACATTATGAAGTCTGATGACAACAATACAGGTTGTAATTTGTGACCAGCACTATTGAGGTTACTGACAGATGAAGCAGATTCTGAAGTAATAAGTCTCCTCCCACATTTTAAATAGCAAACTCTTTTTTAAATTTTATATCTCATGCACACACACACACACACTATCTAAATCAACTAGATTAAATGTTAGGTACAATAACATATTATGATTCTATAATTTCATGAACACTAACACTATCAACAAACAACAGAATCCAATGTACAAAATTGACCACCAAGTCATTAAGGAAAGTATAAAACAAGGAGAATTCAGAATATATTACCAAAAGCATCTTTAAAAGTGCATGTGTTCCAATATGAGCTAGGTCACTTTTGAAATGCTCATGTCCTTCAAGCTGGTCAACATAGTGCAAAACACTTTCACCTTGTTCATAGGTTTCTACCAAAACAGAAGGGTGCACGAGGGGATACAGAGGAATTGGGAATGAAACATCTTTCCATCTCCGGAAATTATAGATAAAGCGACTAAGATGTGCCGCTTCCCTTGAAAGATCAACTTGAGACAGCATAAAGACAGCAAATTGCTGTATGCTTTCATCTAGTCTCAGCCACTTCAAATTAGGTAAGAAAGACGAAATCTTGGCAACAAGATTGATAAGGATAAAATCCCTTTTAATTGCTTCAGAAACCCCTGGATGCCGGACCTTCACTGCTACAACAACAGGCTTGATTTGCTGACCAGGGTATTTGTATTTTAGTGTAGCTCGATGAACTTGAGCAATGCTACCTGAAGCTACTGGTTCTTCCTCAAAATTTTCAAATATTTCAGATAATTTGCGGCCAAAAGCATTTTCAATACATTTTCTGCTATAGCTAAATTTATGTGCTGGTGCTTTGGTTTGAAATTTTGCAAGTTCACCACAGAGATCCCTGGGAAAGAGGTCAGGTCTGGTTGCAGCCCATTGACCCCATTTTATAAATGCAGGGCCAGCTTTTTCAAGCGAAACACGGACAACATGAATCCATGTTTTCCTAAATTGAGTGCCAAAAAAATCAACCAAAGGTGCCGTAGCTATGCAAGGAGAGAACAAAATCACCAAATAGACAGCCCTAAGAAACAAGAACAAAATCTCAAAGGCTGCCACAAGAGCTGCGGTTAAATACACACGTCCATCTTGTGCATGCACATAAAGTGAATCCCTCGTTGGGAAGGATTCTGCTTCTGCCCATTTCCCTTGTGTCCAAGCAATCTCCCCTACTATGAAGGCAATCACACCATGAACAACAAAATTTGATTTGACCATAGCCAAACTTACTGCACGGGCAATTTGACCTACTGGCAGTAGAGCTGGCCCTTTATGGAAACACATCCTGTTCCAAATAACTTGGCCATGCTGGTATTTTGCATTATTTACAGGGAGGGTATACAAGTTCCTAGCCCTGTTATCCATCAAAAAGTTAACCTTTGATTTAAATAACATGAACAGAGTCTGTCCTTTGAGTACATGTCTACAGTTAGAGAAAAAATTGTATCTTGAGTACGGGGACCCCATTGGATAAAATACTTCCAAGCCAGATGTCTTGTGAACAGAACGAGTAAACCTTCTAACATTTCCACAAGCGAGTAACCTGCACAATACATTGCATAAATATTCTTCACATGCTCAAACTCAAACAAAGCCAATATATATGATACATAAAGCATATCAAGGTGTGAGAAGCGAATCTCAACCCTATAATTCAAATCAATGATTAAAATCAAAATAATTTTAACCATCCATATATAATTATATGATTAAGATTAACTCCACTCATGTTCTCACCAGATATGCCCTGCAAGCTCTGCATAAAGACAAATCCAACTGTATAAAGCAAGTCACAAGCAAAACTCCGGAAACCTTCAGGTTTTAAAATTCCAAAAGGAAAGGGTGAATATTAAATTTCAAAGTAAATTAGCTTTCACCAATATGAGAAATTCCTATTGCAGAATTTATTTGTTGCTCTAGAACCATGGTATAAGTACGAAGTATCCAGTGTCAGAAACAGTTATTAATCTCTGTTAAGCCCGTCAGCAAAACATAATCTATTCTATACCCTCAAGAACCTTTTTATTTAGGTCCATGCAAACAAGTGTTTAAGAGAGGCATGTATTATTATTATTTCTTTTGGGGTATACAATGCTGAAGCTAAAACCTATGACTATATGCATACTACTGCAATCCCTACCACTGAAAGAAAGATAATCCAATTCAAAGTTAAAATTTTCCACTAGTAGGACTGAAGAATCATAAAAAAAAAAAAAAAAAAAAAAAAAAAAAAAAAAAA